GGGTGGGGCCCCTGGGGCTGGAGGGGGTGACAGAGACACCCCATCTCAGTGGGCATCTGGGAGAGAGACCCCTGCAGAAGTGTTGGGCAATCATGGGGCACATCAGGCCCTTTTTGTGTGGCCCTTGCGGGGTCCCGCTCACACTGGGGCGTCCTCTCTGGCCTCCTCACCATCCCTGGGTCCCTTCTCTTGGATGCTGCTGTTGGGTTTGTCTGGATTTGGTGTCCTGCAGCCTGGCACTGCTCAGGAGGGAGCCACAGCATATTGGCTCAGGGCGAGGGGGCCCTGGCAGCAGAACGGAAGCTCTGCTGAAAGCTTTGATCTCTTTGATCCATCTCTTGGCCAAACTAAATGACAGCCTTGCATTCTCCCCCCAGCCCCTTCCAGCTGAGGATCTCAAAATACCCGACAGGCATTGACGAATGAAGCCTCATTCCTCCCCCGCGAGGCAGGTGAGTCACTGTAATTCTCAGGGAAACTGAAGCACAAGGCTGATCCGAAGCCACACAGTGAGTGAGGGAAAGAACTGTGAACGTGGCCCTGACAACTGGCTGGCACAATGGTCTGTAGAAGGCTATGCGTGTTTGATAAATATTCCTATCCTAAGCTCTAGTGTAGCAATATTGTGCTCTGTTAAACAGCTGTGTTCCACCCCAGAAGTGGCTGCATTTCAGTGGTGGACAGAGTGGTCCCTGTATTTTCTCACAAGGGTGTTGTGAGGCTTAGTGATTGTTAAAGACATTACTGAGTGTGAAATGCCCACAGAGTGTATAAAACACATCGAGGAGTGAGGGAATCCTCCGATGAGCAGGTCCTGTACAAGTGCAGTGTATTGTTATTTGTTAGCCTGGTGAGATCTGAAGTGGGAGAAATGAACCGGATGGCAGGTGCTGCAGAAGATAAGGCTTCACACCAACAGCAAGGAGATTCTGTGGAGGCCCGAGCTAGATGAGTGGCAGGGGTGGGAGATCAGAGAGTCACAAGGAAGATGTAGTTGGGTGGAGCAAATTGACAGAGGGTTTCACAAGGAAGGAGAGTGGTTTTTAACAAGACCTTAAAATGAATGGGGTGCTCAAGGTGATAGTTCTCCAGACCAAATCTCCGGGGTACTATATGTGGTCTCATGTACATACTCCTTAACGTGCCCCTTTTGGACTGACTCTGCTCAGAAGTTTATCTAGTTTAATGTCAATGACTTTGCTTTTTGTTGTCTTTGCTAAATGTTTATTTTGTTGCCAACAGGCTAACCTGTCAGTGTTTTGCAGGGCGCAGTTCCTGAATCCCAAGACAAACCTGGGGCAGATAAGACACTGAAGCTGAAGACACTTGTAAGTAACCAGATCCCAAGATGCAGTGATGCTCTCAAACCCCTCCTCCAAACCCCTAGATTTAGGACCGTAGTGACAGTAGCAAAATAGGCTGGCATTACAGAGCCAAAGAAAAGGTTGCAGAGGGACAGGAAATGCTAAAGGGCATTGGGCATCATGTCCTTAATGGACGTGAGGATGGTATCTATATTCCAATTGATCGAGAATCCTCAAGGACAATTGGTGGAAATGTATGTGGTCGCCATATGGAAATGTACACCAGTAGGCTGGTTCTGGAGTCTTTGTGCCCCAGTTAGTGTCCTGATAAATATCCTCTAACTGCAGAGAATAGGAGAATATATGGGGCGCCATGTGGCTTAAAGGTGCATTATTAAGCAGACACCTTTCCATTTTCCCACAAAAAGACACTGTAGAATACATCAGTGACACTCTAGAGCTGTGAGCCATTGTGTTACCCTCTCAGCCTCAGCAAGTGAGAACTTTGCTGCTGCTAAGCTGTGTGACAACTCCCCGACATGCCAGCTTATCTGCCTTGCCAGCAGAATTTCCAGGACTCTGCCAGTCCAAACCTTCCGTAGCGGGTAGTAACCAGTGAATCCCAGTTCTCGAGTTCCTCAGAGATGTCTATCTGCAGTGCTTAGCCCCTCTGACTGTAGCACCCACAAAACCTTATCGAGTTTGCTGCTCCTTCAGTGAGATAGTACACACCAGCGTCTTACCGTACCTGGGGTTAACACTCTGTTTCAATCAAAGCACTAAGCTGGTTTATAATAAAAGCAAAGTGAGTTTATTAATAAAAGGAGATAGGTTTAAGTGATACCAAGTGTAAGGAAGGACAGAAAGGGTTACAAACTAACAAAAGCAAAATTACGCTTCTAAATCTAAAATTCAACTTGACAAACTAGCGTCTCTTGTTCAGAGCAGTTTTTCTCACCAGAGTCTTCCAGCGTGGCTGACTGGTTTTTTATCCGGGACCCTTCACAGCGGCAGGGCTCAGGAATTGGGGTACACTGATTGCTACCTGCTAGGGAAGGTGTGGACTGGCAGAGTCCTGAAGAGTTTGCTAGCAAGGCAGACAAGCTGGTGTGTTCCGGAGCTGACACATAGATTAGCAGCAGCAAAGCTCTCACTGGCTGAGGCTGAGAGGGGAAACACACATCTGTTGATGGCTCCTGAAATAAAGGTCTCTATAGAATGGGGTTAGAATCCCCATCCTCCTTCAGTCTCCGGGGGACCAGGAGGGGAGGATCATCTCCTGCAGGACAGCAGCCCATCCTGCTGCAGCAGGACTAGCCCTCTGGGACCTACGTGCAGGACTATTTGCTCTCCTGCAGGGTGACAGGCCATTAAATTACTGCAGCCACTTCATCCCAGAGGTGCCCGGTCACTTCCAAACCTGGGTCTCCTGCCTGGCACTGATCACTCTATTAGGTAGAGACAGGTTTAAGCGTTAGACAAAATTCAAAGATGATGATTTGCAGACGAGGCTGGTCCATCTTCTTTGTCACTGTGGTTTATGTGGGTAAATATATATATTTTAAAAGCTTTACTCGCTTCGGGGCCTCATTGGAGCTGGGTGGTGGTGGTGGCCTATGGTATACCGGAGGTCAGGCTAGATGTTCTGGTGGTCACTTCTGGCTTTATACTCTATGGCCGACTCCTTGGCAAAATCTGTCTGGTTACCTCCTTCTCAAAGCCCTCCTGAAAACTCAGCTCTACTGTGGGGCCTGCAAGGCCAGAGGCATTGCTTGAGCTCTGCCTGCTGCTCAGTGTGCTAAGACACACTTGTATTGCTGTTACCTCTCGCCCTGCCGTGTCCCCTGGGTGCTTGTTTAATTCACTCCTTGTCGTCTCTTCTTTCCTAGACGGTAAGCTGTGTGGGGCAGGGACTGGCTTTTGAATAAGTGTTTGTACAGCGCCTTGACTGGGCCCTTGTGCACTACTAGTAATAACAGAGTTGTCTAACCAGGCTTCCTGGTGCTGTAGACCGAGAGATGTTTTTTTAAATAAGACCACATGCAAAAGAGCTATTTGGATGAAAATCTTCCCACGCCACCATAAGTAAATCCCCTCCCGTCTCTTCCATCGATCCTTACACTCCTATTCATTCCACCCCCACAGGGAACACGGTGTGCGGGAGGCTGAGGCCTAGGCTAGGGTGTGACCCTTCATTGAAAATGCTTTGCCATTTAACTTGGGGCTCTATTAGTTCAGGCTTCCCAGGGCATGTCTGCACTGCAAAAACAAAAACCCAGCAAGTCTCAGAGCCTGGGACAACTGACTTGGGCTTGCATTACGGGGCTCAAAATAGCAGTGGAGACGTTCCCGCTCAGGCTGGAGCTCGGGCTCTGAAACCTGGTCTGGGGGTGGCTCTCAGAGCCCGAGCAGGAAAGTCTGCGCTGCTGTTTTCAGCCCCATAGCGCAAGCCTGAATCAGCTGCCCTGGGCTCTGAGACCCACTACGGCCGTGATGGTTTTTTGTTCAGTGTAGATGTACCCTCAGCTGATCACGTCTGTGGCCAGCTCACATGGAGAGAGAGGAGTTAATCCATTTAGGGTGTGGCAAAGAAGTACCTTTAAAAAACCAACCCTCAGTGCTTGGGTTGTGACAGAAGCTGACGTTACAATCCAGACAGGAACAAAGCAGCATGTGGCCCTCAGAGCTCTTTAAGGCTCGCCATTTATCAGCTGGGCCGCCTGTTGTTACTAGACAGGAAGTGAGTCATTTTGAAACAGAACAATCGGGCACATCTGAGCTACTCGTTAGCCAAGCGCTCCCCAATTGTGATACGTGACCGAAGGTTTCATATTAAATGGTAATCACTGTCCATCAAAGAGTGCAGCCCCGCTCCTGGTTTGTGATCAAGCACTACAAAAGGCCTAGTGATGCTTGACTCCTTGGGGACCGTTGTGTAATGAAACTAACCAGGGTGAGCTCTGCTCTGAGAGGAGGAGAGAATTACAGGATGGAGGTAGCAGGTAGTCGCTCTCCCCAGGGACGTGCAAAGGGGAGCGCAGTGTGTGTTGGGGATGGTCACAGCTGTAAGCCCCTGTTTCCCTGTCCCCTACCCGGGTGTGTACTGCTGCACTGACATCAACGCTTCCTGGATTTCGTATGCAGGTGTCCAGTGGCTGGAGCAGGGGTTAGGAATCTGGGCTCCTGGGCTCTTTGCCATGACCCTGCTGTGTGACTTCAGGCAGGGCGCTTAATCTCCCTGCACTTCAGCCTTCCCTTAGCTGGAAAGCAGGGGCGATGTTACCTGGTGGGAGTGCTGTCAGGTTGAAAACATGGGGGAAGCTCTTTGGGTGGAAGGCATCGTGTGGGTTTTCAGCGGGGGGAGATGTTGTCACAGACCCAGGGTGAAGAACCCCCAGCCGGCCTGCCAACATCGATCTTGGTCCTTCTCACTTGCTTTCCCCTGCGGATTGCCTGATCCGATCACAGCTGACTCCGTTTCCTTCCCCTCCTAGCGCTTGTTCCCACTGTGGACCCCTCAGAGTATTTAATTTAGAACAACAAGGGTCTTTAATTACACTAGATCATGGTCTCTCAACCTGGGAATCTCAAACAGCTGTCGAGCGCCACTGCCACACCCAGCCCTTCCCGTCCTGCTAAAGAGGAGGGGAGTCCCGTCCCACTATGGAAGAAGGAAGAACCACGGCCCGTGTTTTGTTTTCCAGGATGCCTGCAGCATTCAGTGCATTCTAGCCCCACCACAATGAGAGATCCCTGGTCACTAGAATGCAGTCACCCCTATCGCTGCCATGTGCGAAGTTCTCAGCAGTGAATCTTGAGCTTCCCTTCTCAATGCGTTGCAGGTCCATCTGTTCTTAACTCTGGTGATTCTGTCTGCTTGTACTGTGCTCTACATCCTGCTCTGCTCGCAGCTGCGTTGGCTCAGCTATCAGCAGCTGGAGGAACATAAACGTCCCTTGGTGATGGTGTCTGGAGCCCTCAGCTTCGAGGGATACAGTCGTGTTCCTGATGGAAAGGTGGGTTAAAGTTCCAGCTGCGAATGGGCTCTCCCAAGATGGGAGAATGTGAGGTAGTGGTTAGAGCACAAGACTGGGAATTGGGACTTCTGGTTTCCATTTGCAGTATCACTGTGTGCCCTTGGGTGAGTCACTTCACCCAGCATTGCCTCAGTTTCTCCATCACTAATGAAGATGATAATGTACCTACTTCCCACGAGAGTTGAGGCTTATTGATTAAAGTTTGCACAGTGTTTGAGGCTCCTAAGTTGTGAAAGATGCCTCAGCAATGCAGAACGTTAGCCGTGGGGCTACCGTGGCCCTGTGCTGGTGTAACAAAGCCCCTTGGCTCACTCACATCAATCTCTGCTGTCCGTGTCCCGGAACAGGCTCAAAGCAAAGCACATCCGACATCTGGAGTAATTGAAAACACTACCCTTTGGTGGGGGCCTAAGTTAGGGCGTGCTGCTTTCAGACTCCAGGGGGGCACCAGGGCATAGTTAAAGGGAGTCAGGAGAAACCAGTTCTAGACGCGTTTTTTAAAGCTCATTCTGGTAACATGGCTTTAGCCCCGGTGTAGATTCAGCTTGAGAGCGTCGCCACCCTGTGCCAGCAATAGGGAGTTGCAGGGAGGGTGGCTAAGAGCAGCACCGTGGAGGGAGTGGTGGAAGGGGGCCCTTGAGGGAGGGCAGTTCTGAATTGGATTTAGAGACAGACAGGAAGCCAGTGCAGGTGATGAAAGGGTGATATGGCCCTGCTGCCTGGAATGAAAACATACTGCGAGCCCCTCCCCTTGCAAGCCCTGGGCCTCTCCTGTCCCTCTCCATTGCTAACGGTGCGTCTTGCTGCAGCCGTTGGTCAGAGCTCAGTGCCGCCAGTGCGCCCTGGTATCGAGCTCGGGTCAGATGCTGGGCTCGCGGCTGGGAAAGGAGATTGACCGAATGGAGTGCGTCCTGCGCATGAACCAGGCCCCCACCAATGGCTACGAAGAGGACGTGGGGACGAAGAGCACCATCAGGGTCGTCTCGCACACCAGCATCCCTTTGCTCCTGAGGAACCAGTCGTACTTCTTCAAGCAGTCCCGGGAGACCATCTACATCGTCTGGGGGCCCATGAGAAAGATGAGCCGGGAGAAGGGGGGGTTGACCTACAGGACTCTCCAGGAAATGAAGGAGATGTATCCCAGCCTGCAGATCTACACGCTAACCGAGAGGATGATGGCTTACTGTGACGAGGTCTTCCAGGTCGAGACGGGGAAGAACAGGTGAGTAGGCTCCTCGCTCCCTCCCTCAGGGCCTCCACGCCACAGCCACCTCCTGGGTGTAGAGCTTTCCACCCCAGGGTCTACTGTAGGTGGATGCTTCTGGTAAACCAATCAGCAGTGAAATAGTTAAGTGTTGCCATTTTAGGTTGGGATTTTCGAAAGCACCTATAGGACTTTGGAGCACAAGTCCCAATGGGATTTGTGCTTCTAAGTCCCTTAGGCAGTTCTCCACTCTTTAATTGTAAATGTTGGGTTTCAGAGTTACCAACCCATTGACATGAGTGGGACAGTTTACTCCCCTCCCACAAATGCTGCTTGCCCCTCAGTGGTGAATGGACCTGCAAGGTACCTTAGGAGGGTCAGGGCGCTGAACACGAATGGATTTAGAACCACTGCACTAAACTGATAAGATCTGCATTTCAATTGAATTTTAAATGAAGCTTCTTAAACATTTTAAAAACCTTGTGTACTTTACATACAACAATAGTTTAGTTATATATTATAGACTTATAGAAAGAGACCTTCTAAAAACGTTAAAATGTATTACTGGCACGCGAAACCTTAAATCAGAGTGAATAAATGAAGACTCGGCACACCACTTCCAAAAGGTTGCCGACCCCTGGTCTAGGAGATGAGTGCAGGTTTCCCTCCCACAGCCTGTGTCCGTTTCTCTCTCTGCCGTGCTGGTTACGGCAGCCTGGCCCCTCCAACTCTGTTGCTGTGTGATTTGTAGGATGAAGTCTGGCTCCTTCCTGAGCACTGGCTGGTTCACCATGATCCTGGCAATGGAGCTGTGCGAACAGATCTCTGTCTTCGGCATGGTCAGCGATAGCTACTGCAGGTACGGCCGTGAGGAGAGGGAGGGGCTGAGGGTGGGAGACTTCTTGGGGCTTTTGCCACAAAGCACGTCTGTTCATCAGTTAACTCAGCACAACCATCCCACAAGCAATACAATACGTCTTCCATACAATCTCTGTCCCCAGAGACTTAGCCAAGTTCGGTAACAAACAGCACAGGGAGGGGTGTATTAGGAGGCGCGGACAATGCAGAAAATGTATGAAGTGGACAGATACAGGGAGGCTGCTCCAAGCAGCAGGAGTTGCAGAGGAGAAGGTCGTCACACCAACAGTGGTGAGATCCGAGAAGGAAGGGGACGGAACAGAGAGAACGGGAGTCTGGCTGGGGGTGAGTTCCCGAGGAGTTTTTATAAGCAAGGAGGCAGTTTGGAACAGGGAGCTGGGGGCCCTAACTGCAGAGGTGACATGGCTCTGCTCTCTCTGTGATGCCCACACCTGCTGGAGTCTGCAGAGCTGGGATGCAGTAAGATGATGGAGGGAGCGTGTGGTGGGAATCGAGGCCCAGGGCAATGAAGGGGAGGATGAGGATTTCAGCAGGGGCGGGTCTGTCTGTAACTCAGGAGGAAGTTCTTCATTCATTCAGCTCCCCCATCCCCATCTCGTGGGGCAGGATTGGTCCCTTTGGTAGATTTGCTCGTGCTTTGTCCAGCCTAATGTGGAGGTTTGGGAGGTGGGTGTTACACACCCAGCTCCTAGCAGGGGAGTTGACAATCCCCATGACTGGGACTCATGCTTTGTGCCCTCAGCCATGTGGCCCAGAGATCCCTGACACTGAATGGACATCTCCGGGGTTAGTAGACTGGTGCCTCTCTCTTGTGTTGGCTCCATCCCTGCTCTGGAAGCAGGAGTCTGCCATCTGGGCCAGTGCCCCACGGCGCTACCTCTTGTCTGCTCTGGTTGGCAGGGAGAAGAACCATCCCAGAGTGCCTTACCACTACTTCGAAAAGGGCAAGCTGGACGAGTGCAGGATGTACCTCGCCCATGAGAGAGCCCCCCGGGGTGGCCACCGCTTCATCACTGAGAAAACCGTCTTCTCCCACTGGGCAAAGACAAGGAACATTGTCTTCAATCACACCTCGTGGGTGGGTGGGTAGGGGCGTCCGGCCCACGTGCAGCTCCCGGGGGAAACGTTTCACTCCGTGGTACGATAGGCTGCAGCCTAGTCCTGCAGTGTGGCATGGGGGCCTGTCTGGAGGAATTGCACATGGGGGGTCAGTGCATGAAGAGAAGCTGCACAAACACGGACTTGACGAGAGGCCGAGCATCCTGGGAGGTGTTGAATGGAGCAATAAAGGCACATCTCAGATGTGACACATGCCCACCCTCTGCAGGGTCCCTGCCACTTGTGCTGGAGCATTGATCTGCAGGTCAGAGTGTCTCTGCGGGTCGGCTCTTAGGTGTTGCACAATCCTTCCCAGGCACTCAGCTGGAAGGAGGCAGAGAAAACCTGGGGCATCGTTCAGAGCACTCAAGGTCTCAGCCCCTCCATTGCTGCAAGCAATCCCTGACATCTCTGAACCTCCCCCCCCCCCCAATCATTCTGAGCTCTGACCCTAGGACTGTCTTTGAAAAGTTTTTAATCTTTGAACCAGGATGAATATTTAATCCAGTATTAAACATTTCCATACTTGCGTTACAGCAGGCTGCAGATCTTAGAGAAGTGGAGTCGCTCTGAGGTTTAAGCCTGTGCCTCTTGGGTGAAACTCCTCATTCTCTTCCACTTATATCCTCAAGAGGAGGTTTAGGTGGGTAACCAGGGGGAAGACGAATGGTCTTGTAGTCAAGGCACTGGACTGGGACTCAGGGGACTTGAACTCAAATCCAAGCTCTGCCACAGATTCTCTGTGTGACCTTGGACAAGTTACCTAGGACCCGATCCAAAGCCCGTTGACATCAATGGAAAGACTCCCATTTACTCCAGTGGGCTGCTGTCTCAGTTCCCAGTCTTCTGCTTGTATGTTGTATTCGTTCCTCTCCTGCATCTGTCTTGTCCATTTCGATTGTAAGCTCCTTGGGGCACAGATTGGCTCTTACGAGCAAAATGGGGCCCTGATCTCAGCTGAAGCCTGTAGGCATTACAGTTATTCCAATAGTACTTCTTCCTGTTGGTTGTGAAGCCGTGCACAGGCCTCGGGCTGGTGGATTGCTCCCACACAGAGCGAAGCAGCAGGAGATCTGGGGGCTCTGGGGGCCCTGGGTCTTCGGTCAGCTTAAAGAGCGAGAGGAGTGGAATGTTTCAAAAGCGTCTCTTGCTGTGACTTGGCTGAACGGGGGCGAGACACCTGTCCTCCTGTGGGCACGCTGTGCTGGATGTGCAGTGCAGGGAAAAGAGATCCCCTGTCGCCAGCCGGCCTGCCATTCAGTGAGACGTAGACATAAGAACGGCCACGCTGGATCAGACCAAAGGTCCATCTAGCCCAGTATCCTGTCTTCCAGCAGTGGCCAATGCCAGATGCCCTAGAGGGAATGAACAGAACAGGTAATCATCAAGTGATCCATCCTAGCAGCAGTGTTTGTGCTGAGGTTTTGCCATTCGGCAAGGAAAAGGACACTGCCTCCTGGGCCAGCAGTCCAAATATCTTCTCGTTCTGTCTGTCCCAGGATGGGGAATTTTGACCTAGTGCCGTACCTGGGGCACCCGACTGTGGGCTCCGCTCCCACGCATCACACCTCTCAAAGTAGTGTGCATGTGCCCTGCAGCTCCTGTTACCCTGCAGGACAGGCCCTGCATTCCAGACATGCCGTGACGTGTTCTAGACGCTGCCCTGACCTCAGTAAAGGTGACCGCTTTTTGCCAGAAAAATAGGGTCCGTTCTGGTTCAACATCCTGAATGATACACCTTACATTTCTATAGCACTTTTAACCATGAAGGATCCCAAAGTGCTTTTGCAAAGTCTGAATAGCTACAGGAGCCACCTCATCTCCTCCTCAAAGTGCAGCTACTTCTGGAGTGGAACACTGTCTTTTCAACAGCAGCACACAACACCACCGTAGGACAGTGGTTTTCAACCTGGGGTCCGCAGACCCCTGGGGTTCTGCAGACTATGTCTAAGGGGTCTGCGAAAGGTGGTCATTACCATAGAAGAGAGGTTCTCAACCTGTGGTCCGTGGATCTCTGGGGGTCTGCAGACTGTGTCTAAGATTTCCAAAGGGGTCTGCACCTCCAGTCAAAATTTTGTAGGGGTCTGCAAATGAAAAACGGTTGAAAACCACTGCTGTAGGACAGGAAGCGAAGAAAGATGCTGCATCTAATTTAAATGGTGGGGGCGTCTAGTTTTACATTGTCTTGAAATACAGTGTCTTCGCATCTGTAATTATAATTGCATCTATTTAAAATCCTTGTTCGGGGGTTTAAACCGCGACAGCTATGAAGGAAGTTTTGGAGACGGCCTGCAGTGCTCATGTCGCTTGGGCCACATAGCAGTTGGTGGCAGCCCGCGTGGAAAGCCCATCTTTGTGCAGTGCTGTAGCCGTTTAAAACCACATCTTAGATGAACTGGTTTGAAAAAGACTCTCAGCATAAGCTGTTTCTTGAACTGGAGCAGAGTGTGGTCGCTTTGGGGTTCAGGCTGGAAGACACAACTTCTGTCAGCAGCTCCACCATGTCAGGAAGAAACATTTCCTTCCAGTGTTCTGGCATGTACCCTTTGAGTTCATGTGCTGCCTTTGTTACCAAGTGCCCTTGGATTGATACCAAAGCAAACCTACTTAATAAATGTATTTTTAATTCTGTGATCATTCATTGTTTGTGCAAACTGGGTGAATTTATCCAGCTGGACTCAATCCTGGAGTCGTTGCTCAGACAAAGCTCCCATAGCCATCCTGCCAGACCATTCTTAATTGCTGTAAATTCTGTTCTCTGGGATTCAAGGCATGGGCATGGGGTAAGAGCTTTGCACGTGCTGCTCTCTCTCTTTCTCCTCTGCCGTCAACTGTTATATGCATTTCCCATAATCCCCTGGCAAGCAACCTGTGTAATCCACCTAACCTAGCATGGGTTTTGGCCCCTAGTGGCTATGTCACATAAGAGATTTGAGTCTGCTACTGCTGCAGGGTTAATGGGTCCTTTAATTCAAACAGCGGAAGTCATGCTTTTAGATCACTCAGTCCCTGCTGACTCGTCCAGGGGGTCAGTACATGTGCAAGTTGAATGCCCCCTCTATCAGTCCCTTTAGTTTGTCCCCTACTGACGTTGCCAAGTCACCTTAGCTCTAGGGGCGACTCTGGCTGGAAACACCAAATCACGGGCTGATCATATGTCACAATATGTCACGCTGCCCTCTCGCTCTCCTGGACTTTGGTTTAAATATAAACAGACATCACTGAGGGAGTCAGAGCCCCCTGTCCCATCACACTTTTTCCTGCCCCTCTTCTCTGGCAGAGGCTGTTGAACTTACACAGGAAGATCTGGCTGCCTGGAGAAATGCTAATTATACAAAATCTTCTTGTATAGATGCCAAGCATTGGTTGCTGACACAGCATTACTCAGCACTTTGTGTGCAGACTTCCTCACGTGGGGGGAAAGAATTTCCCATCTGTCCTGGGCTGGGGAACAATGAACTGCTTAAAAATCCCAGGTAGCTCTCACACTCATAGTCAACTGACTTCTTTGAGAGCAGGATTAGGCCCTTAATTAGCTCACAGAGGGCCTGATTCTGCCGCGTTTACTAGCTGACCAGCTGTGTATTTTCTGAGTAGCCCTGCTGAAATCAATGAACCACCCCCCAGGAATGAAGATGAGAAAAACTGAAAGAAACGACTGTTGTTTATATTCCAGTAGCCCCAAGAAGTTGCAGCTGAGCTCAGGGCCTCATTGTACCGGGCAGGGCACCTACACAGAGCAAGAGACAGCCCCTGCCCCAAAGAACTTAGTCTAAATACGTAAGAAAAGGGTGGGGGAGAGGCAGCACTGGTGCTACTGGGAGGCTGTGTACTTCAGGGGACAGAGCAGTGGACCCTGACTCGGGAGACCTTGAGTCTAGTCCCAGCTCTGCCACCCAAAGAGCTGCATGACCTTGGGCAAGTCACGTCATCTCCTGTCCCCATCTTGTCTAGTAGGCTGGTAAGGTCTTTGGGAGAGGGCCAGCCTCACACAGTGTATGGTCTAGCACAATAGAACCCTGCTTTCAGCTGGGGCCTTTAGACACAAAGCATCACTGCGACTAAGAACAATCTCTATTTCAAATGAGCTCAGCTCCCATATAGGCACCAGGATCAAGCCCTGAATTTCTGTGTGCCCCATTTTATGCAAACCACTTGACTGAGCTCACCCAGCAAATTATGTCAGAGCAAGAGACAGAAGGTACCAATGCCCAGTTCCCTACTCTAACCACTTGGCAACACTCCCTTGGTTAACTAAATGGCCTTTACACAGTAGCGTCACCAGTAGGGGTGTAACAGTGGGGACTACACAGCTCCCTAGCACAGAGCTGCTGTTTATTCTTGGAGGCAGAGGAATGCCTGTGATCTGGCAGGTGCAAGCCAACCCAAGGGGTTAAAGGACCCAGATTCCATGCTGTCAGTGAGGAAGCTGCTACAGTCAAATGGATCCTTGTGGAAGCTACAAGCCTCTTGCTCTGGGAACATTCCCCATTTAAAAATAGCCCCCTCCTCCCCCTGTGAACACAATGGACTTCTGCCTGCCTTGTATTTCCTAGCAGCCACATGATGGCATTGCTCAGTAAATAGGGTTTTACTTAGTGGTTGGCTTTGGCTGAATTTATCTGATGCCAACCAGTAAGTGCAAAGTTTTGTTTCCTTTGAGACATCAGCCCCATGTGGCTGGCTCAGTGGTGGAGGGGTTGGAGCCCAGCACGAGCAGCAGCCCAGGCAGTTGATAGTGGAAATGGACACGTTCTGATCTGAGCGGCCTGTGTGTGTCCAGCTCTCGCTGAGAATCTGTGTCTGGCTGGAGGAGATTAGTGCTACGCGGCGGGATTTCCCAGCACTCCAGCCACAGGGTTGCTTGTGTTCCAGAGAGAGTGAAGTGCCAGTCTGTGCGCATGGGCCTTGTGTCACTGGGGGTTAGGCTGTGGCCATTACTACACACAGAGCAGGGCTTTCCCAGCTGGACAGGTTCATTTTGACATCTTCATCTCTCCAGTGTGCCACCCATATGAGCATGGACTGGTGTGCAGGGCTGCCATGGCAACTGTGCTCGCGCAGGCCGTAACCAAGGCGAACATACAAACATGTGACACAGCAGCTAGGGTTAAGGAGCCCGATTGCCACATGGGGCCATTCCATACCAGGCAGGCGCAGGGCTGTGCTGTGCTCCGCTGGGGCGGAGACCAGACGGGCAGGATGAACATCACACGTGTTATTTATCTTGAAACCAGCCTTCCTCTTTTGCCAGTGGGATCCCTAGGCAAAGTGGCTCCCACGCTACATTTTTGGATGGGGGAGGCGGAGCAGAAGCGGGGTCCAGATCCCACAGCTGGGCCCACCCGCCCACTTCGTATGTCTGTTCCCACCCGCCCACTTCGTATGTCTGTTCCCTTGGTTTTACAATACAACCTGGCTCACAGGTAGGACCATGTTCCTTCGTTAGGCGGACTGATGTCCAGAGCTGACCCACTCCACCTCTGCGGTAACTTGCCGTGCAGTTGCTGCTTGACAGCTGTCTCTGCACAAACAGAGTCCCGGGATGCTGGAACAACTATCGTAGTGGGGGTGCTGAGAGCCATTGAACCAAACTGTAAACCCTGGATATAATGGAAACCGCTCCAAGCCAGGGGGTGCTGCAGCACCCCCCGCATCCCTCGTTCCAGCCCCTATGACAGAGCCTGTAAAATAACCTCCTGACAACCTAAAACACCAATGAAGAGAGAGGCCTTCAGACCCACTTACCACCCTGGGAGCCATTGCTCCTGCCTCGGGCTAGACAGGGATGGATTCACAGGACCAGAATCCCACCTGCCCCCGAGACTCTGTGCCCTGGTGCTGCCCGTGCAATAGCTTCCCAGCCCCAGGAAATACACTTCTCCATCTCTCCCCCTCAGTACTATGATTTGTGCAGCAGAAGTGTAGTCTGATGGTTACAGCCAGGCACTGGGGTGCCCAGGACTCTTGGGGTCTAGTCTCAGCTCCATCACTGACTGGCTGTGAAACCTGGACAAGTCACTTAACCTCTCTGTGCCTCGGTTTCCCCAGCTGCACCATGGGCGCTATGAACCTTCTCCGACTGAGGCCAACCCTGCCCGGGTCCTTAGCCAGTCAGAACTCCGCTTGGCCTCCGTGGGGAGTCCGAGCACGGGGGGCAGGGTTTGGCCCAGCGCTTTGAGATCCCCCGAGCCGGGCAGGATGCAGAGCCACGCTGGCTGCATCTCCAGGACCTGCCCGCGCCTTTCCCCCAGCACCGGCCGGCCGGGGTGGGTCTCCACGGGAGAGTCCGCAGCGCACGCGCGCTCCCGGCAGCCGGTGGGGGGCGCTCGGACCCCCCCTTTCCCACGCCGCGCGAACGCGGCTGGGGAGGGAAGCGGGCGCGCGCTAGGACGCGGGCGCGCCGCCGTGCAGGGAGCAGGTGGCCGCGCGGGGGCTGCAGGCGCCGCGCTCCCGGGTCCCCGGCAGGGCAGCGCGCCCGCGCTAGCGGCTCCTCCGCGCGCCCGGGGCTGGCCGAGCCCGCAGCGGAGCGAGGTGAGCGGCGCATCCCCGTGCGCTCGGCAGGGCCCCGGCGATGCGGACGGGCAGCGGGGTGGAGGCGCCCCTCGCCGGGCGGCGGAGAGGTTGGCCTGGGGGGGGAGAGACCCTTCCTTGGCCCTGGGTCCGTCTGCAGAGGCACCCCGGGGTTAGGGGCTCGGGGTGTGTTCAGGCCGCGCCGCCGAGTGGGAACGGGGCTGGGCAGGGAGGCGCTGGCCCCGGCCCCGGGGGCTGCCCCGGCCCGGGTTCTGTGCCTGGTGGTGCTGGGCGCCAGGCGCTGGTGACAGGCTTGGGCGGGTGATAGTGATTTGCACGAGTGCGCAGGGCTCTGCCCGAGGCAGGCTCAGCCCCCAGGGCTGAGTGGCGGATCAGTGGGGTTGATTCCGGCTCTCCCTGGGCAGAGGCGTCGTGCGCTGCCCCAGTTTAGCCAGAGACGAGTATTTCTGGGATACCGGCGGATTAGCAGTGACGCTCGTTTCACTCTGGTTTCCCCAGGCAGAAGCGGGCAGCTGGTTGGGTTTTTCACTCTAGGAGGTTGCAGAGGGCAGATCGGCTCAGCCCTCCCCTGGGGCAGGGCCCTGGCAGGGGCAGAGATGTGACCGAGTGAGCCTCAAGATGGAAGGGCAGCCTGCCAGTGGGAGCTGGGGCCCGCTCACAGTCCCTTGGAAGGGGGGGAAGACGAGGAGGAGAGACACCCCGGCCAGCCAGGCTCTTGGCTTTCCTCAGATGAAAGGTCTCGCCCAGGTAAGAAAAGGGGAAACTTCCCTCTCTGATCTGGGACCCATCCTCCAGGTTTGCACTTCAGCAGCCTGGATGTGCACATTGGTTCTGATCACTAGGGATTTGTCAGTGAAATTCCTAGTGGGGAGGTCTCTGGAGCTGCTGGGCGAATAGGGCATCGGGAACTAGACAGCACAGGATAGTGCAGCCCAGAGGCAAGCAGAGGAGGGGTGTGGGGAGTTAGCCCACTGACTTCACAGACTCCTAGCGCTTGCTGTGTTCGGAGCTCTGTGCTGCTGGATGGGCTGGGGGGGTGCTGAATCACTGCCCTTGGGGGAGCCCTGAGCATTTGTGCATCTTCCTTCCCCTGGCTGTTT